TTGCCGATAATTTAACTTGTGTCCACCACTGTATAACCACAATAAAAATGTTTTAGTTTTTAATAAAATTCTATGTGAAAGTTTTCTCATTTTTAATGAAATAAGAAATTGCATTCAACACACATACCAATACAAAGCAAAATGTGACCAATCTCTTCTTTTATTAACTCTATCCAATTATAAATTCAACTCAAAAAAGTAAATAGTGCTACCAGTCCAACAGACATTCTAGAATGTGCTCTCAGGGAAAAAAGCTTGGGGATCCCTGATATAAACTAACTGTTATTTTTTCCCTTGCATTAAGAAAACTTGGCTTGGTACTTGGCTTCTCCAGAACAGCAAATAGTGGGTAATTTTCAAAGTTATGGGATTCTTCCATTAAAAAATGTGGACACGATATAAGACATTTTTGCACATATGATCATACACATTTCTGCACATGGAAATTAAGTACTTTTAAGGACTATTAATGAAAAAAATTAAGTACCTATCAGCAAATGGGAGCTGAATAAATTCAATTAAAATTCAATCAACTTATGTCTGAACTCCGTTTCTGTAACAACCTTCTAAGAATAAAATAGATCCGTAAGGTAGGATGCATTCTTATTTAAAATAATTTAATGAACATAACTATAAAACAAATTTGAGAATAAAAAACACTTTATAAAATTTATCATGTAGCATTAAATATTTTACACATATAATAGTTGGACATATTTGAAAGAAGTAGGGACATTTTATTTTCTACTTCTAGAGTTAGCTTTATGTTGATTTTTTTCTTTTAGTTTCATTTTGCCATGTACTTATCTAGGGTTTAGTAAATACAGGTAAGATTTTTATGTCAAATGGCACGGTTAAAAGAGAATAAATCATAATTAGCATGATTCATAACAGAAGATTGGCTGTTGCCAGGCTGCTGCTTGCCTAGAGAGAGATCTGTTGATCAGAACAAACCTGAAGCCTGATGTAGTTTTGAGGTTGGCAAGTTTTGAAAGTTAGTTGTGCTCCATCTGTCTGACACAGTGTTATGCATGCAGGTGATAAGGTTTTTTTTTACCAAGGTTTTTTTAATTTTGTTTTGTATTATTTTAAGTCTCACTAGATGCAAAGAAAAAGTTTTACATTAAATTTTACATTTTTTTACTGTATCTTGTGACCACAGTAAGGATTAATGAAAGGTAATAACTTGCTTTTAATATGCAAAGATAACTTTTAAAGGTGAATGGTTAGTTACAAATAATTAAACCAGGTAGTTAAATACCCTTAATCGTTACAGATTTACATGACCACTATTAAATTTTATTTATTTTTTAAAAACATTTATTTAAAAAGCACTATTAAAATCCCAATCTAACAACATTTCACAGTTTAAAATACATGTAATTTTAAATTATTAGTTTTAAATCAATGTCATAACATCGATTCTTAAACGGTATTATGGTAATTCCACATTACAAGCTACGAAACATTAATGTCTTGTAGCAACAAAACATAACAAAATTTTTATGCGCCTTTTTAATTTGAAGCCTTCCCAGACATTTTGGCTTAATTTATATCAATTTCTTCTCTTTAACATCTTTCTTAACAATTAATCTGTTTCAATACACCAACAATTTCCCCTATTTCTGTGTGTTATATCTCCTAATTTGCCAGTCTCTTAAACAATGCTAACACGTTTTACTTGATCTGGTAAAATTAAATAGTCCAAAACTCTTATAGACAAAGCAATTAATCACTAATGTCTGAAGTACTACAAAGTCACATAAAGGTTAAAAACCTTTATTTAAAAAGAACTTCGAACATACAGGCACGTTCCAGTTGACAAAATTAACTATATCTTGTGTGATGCAATTAACAGGAACAGTCAAATTCAACTAAAAATGTGGACTACTAGTCAAAGCTAAACAATTTCATTTTAATCTAAGCTGGTTCAGTAACTCTATCTGTAACAAATTCAAATTTACAGTGATAATGCAAAATGAAAATCAAATTATCAAGCTGGCAGAATAATGCACATCCAAGTGGAGAGCAAAACACTCAGTCTTTCATCCTAAACCTCAGTTTAAAATCTGATTTTTATGTGAGAAGTGGAAAGGGGAACTTATAGTAAGGCTAAACTATAAACACGGTAATCTGCATAATAATAACTGTACATATCATCGAAGAATAATGTTCTTCCTCTTTACGGATTCAGTTTCTTTCTTCAATTCATTTCCTCTTCATTTAAGAATTTTTGGAATTAATTAAAGATTTCTGTTATTCTAAAAAACCAAATGTATTTAGAATGTAAAGACAAAGCTGATAAATATGAAATGATGTATAATAAGGGCCGTTTCAGGGCCGATGAGGCAGAATTTTTAGAATTTAGTGAAGCAACAGCGAGCAACAAAATCTAGAAATGGGAAAAATTTTAGAATTTAGGACAGGCAGTGGGAGCAGAATTTAGGATCCACAGAGATTGCATCAGGTGGAAAATGCCTTGCGCCAGCCCTGTGTGTGTGATCCATTGAAACATATAAGGTGAATCTTTTAAATTGTCAGTTTTCAATTTCTTTATTAATAGAAAAATTCTTTTTTTTATAGATACCTGTCCATGGGAAAAGATTAGAAACATTTTTGATATTTTTTTACTCGTGTCCTAGTGAAAATTGAGAAAATAAGGGAAGATACATGTTAAGAAAAGACTCTATATCAGAATTACATTCAGCATTATATTTTCATGCCCACAAAAATTCCCAAATATAAGATTCATCAAAACTTTCTGTAAATACATCCTTATGTTTTAATACAATGAAGCATTTTCATTTTGTCAATTTTTTCTGGAGCCTTCTAGAACTGTGGGTCTGTAAATCTTCCCTTCAATCCTTCTAACTTCCAATTACAAGGTTTAAAATCCTAAAGAAATTTACCCTACCATTCTGCAAAAGAAAAAGGGCTAGAAATAATTTAAAAAAAAAAAAAAAAAAATGATGGGAAAAGTGTAAAATTAATTTTAAAGAGAAAACTGATACATATTCTACAATTACATGGGAAAAATTCTTACCATAAAAAAATTAAAAGGAAGAAATTTTTAATTAATTATATAGCTATTTTGCTTTTGCTCTGAATTGTTTTGTAAACTGTGCTTTATAGTATTTATTACCATGTTTATTTTTCAGATTCAAAATACTACATAATAAGTTGCCAAAATGGAAAGTAATACCCTTTTATAATATGACAGCAAAAGAAAACTAAAATGTTTTATTTTAATGCTATTCCTTAAATGTTAATATTACCATTATTTTAGTTAAATTTATCAATGTTATAATGTTTCCAAAAAAATCGTCGAAAAATTCCCAGATCTCCGAATTCAAAATTTTCTACGGAAATTAATCTTAAAATCGTCAAAAGTTGATAAGTCACCAAATTTAGAGCCGTTTAATAAAAGAATTCACATCCTCAAAAGCTGAAAGTTGTTCAAATGCTCTTCATTAGAAAAAAATGAAATAATGAAATGCTTATGTTTGACTCCTTGCTCAGAAACTCCAGCATTCCACCCTTTATATTAGAAATAGGAAAAAATCATAACTAATGAACCCATTCAAAAGATAATCATATTTGTCAGTGAATTGTCAAAACTATTCCTTCATAATGATAATTCACACTCAAAACAGCAGTCGTAAAAACAAAACAGAAATTTCAAATGATTAAAATTAAGGATCTTCTGCCAATTTTGGCCGAAATTAAGGACTTTTAAAATCGATTTAAAAAACTAAGGACTTTTAAGGACCGTATGAACCCTGTATGATCAGCTGGATATGGCTGACTAAAAGTAATAAACTAGAAAAATTACCTGCTGGAACTCAAGAGTACTCTAAGAAGTACTCAGAGTACTCACTCTTTGTACTAAGAGTGCTCTAAGAAGAGCTTACAATAAAATAACAGAAATCAACAAAAGCCATTTTGCAAAGGGAAAATGAAGTGGATTGAAGACTGATTGTTTATTAAATAAAGAGATGAAAGTTCCTTCAAAATTCAGCAGGAACAAAGACAACAGCTTTGGCGGGATCTTCGTGAACTTTCATATTTTGATAGTAACCAATTTTCATGGTTGATGAAATATGGATGCAACAAATGTGCTTAAAAATCTATTTAGATCTTTTCCATTGTTAGGACAACAGGTGCCAAAGAACTTTTGATGACATACATGCTGACACTTCCTAGAGCTGTTAAGTTATTATCTACTTAAAAGAAGAGATACCTTCATGAATATTCAAAGAAAGTATAGTAACGAAATTCTTTTTTAAACTGCATCATTTTGTCACATTCATTATTAATATACTAAAATCTCTAACTCTAAAAATATATATTTCTTATGTTTAGGAAAATTTTACCACAACTGAAATAATCCAATGACCAAAAATACACTTTCTTAGTGGAAGTATCAAAGGTTATATTTTTTCAGAAATAATTATTTAGCATGTGCTGCCCTGCAAGAAAAAAAGATTCCCTAATTCATATTAGAAATTCTCATTATAAATGCTTTTTTGTAAAGTAATTTGTTAAAATTTAGAGTACATTACACTACATAGCCATTACAATATATTTTCCTTACACACTGCAAATGTTATACAACACATTGTAAATTGCAATGAACTTTATTTTATAATGATATAATTTTACCATTAACAAGTACTGGGAGGGAGGGACTACATGTTGATTTTAATGTATAATAATGAATCTATCTTTCATTGAGTCAAGTTTGTAATAAAATGCTTTTTATTCACTGGGTCAATTTTAACCCTAACCCGAATCACTTCTTGTCATCCGACATTCCAAATTCTATTACCATCATTTTCTTTTTTATTCTGGATAATAGGAGCTCAGCAATAAATAGTACATTTTATATAAGTATTCCCTATGCATAGGAAAATATTTAAAAACATTCATTTTACTACTACTACTAATAATAAAAAAATCAGTTTTTAATAAAGTGATAAAAAATTAAAGTTACAGAATGAATTCAGTTATTTTCTTACATTTATTACTTCTTCACCACTATGAAAGTCTAGTTTTCCTCTAGCATTAGTTGGTGGAAGGGACGAAAAGATCTGAAGAGCAAGGGAAAGATGATTTCCAGCATCCTGAATCTATTAAAATTAAGAAAGAATTTTACATTTTAGTCTTTTTAATTTACTAAAGTATCATTTAAAATTAAATTAACTTAAAACATACATGTTTTCTAAACATAATAAACTTCTGCTTCCATAAGAATTTATATTTCAGTTATCAAAACACTGAAATATGTCAAAGTTTTTATCTAATAATAAAGGGAAGGGTAAAATGGCATACACTGAATAAGAAGAAACTTAATTCTTTATGTCCTAATACATTAAATCACAATTTACATAATTCCAAAATATTCACTCTACATAAATATACATGATTTTACATAAGAAATCAAAGCTACCAAGTAAATAAACAAATCAAATTAAGTAAGCTTAACAGTTGCATGACCGGCTTTATCGGGTCATGAGATTTTTTTTTTGTCATTGGTACAAGCACATAGCACACATCAGTTTATAATTTAGGATATTTTGCTTTCTTACTTTCCTTAATAATACATGCATCATCCTAATGAATGCAAGTTTATGAAAATAGAGACTAAAATAAATATTTATACAAATTTAGCTATTAAATGCTGTTTAAATGCAGGTCTTCATGAGCAGATCCAAAAAACCCATGCCATGCAGTGGGTTCAGGTATTTTCTTATTATTATAGACCCCTTTTTTAAATGATGTTATCAATAAATCACCAAAATGTATTACAAACCACGGCCAAACAGTCAAAAGTCTAACCATGCTCCCATCATGTTTAAAAAAAAAAAAAAAAAAAAAAAAAAAAACCTCTTATGAGGCCATGGGCTATCACTACATTTCTATCATATTTTGTGCCTCGTTTCCAAAATAATATGTTAACTGTTTCTGATATGCCAAGTAGTGAAAGAGATACTTCATCATTCTTCAAGAAACATGTCTTCATCTCATATTCAAATATGCAAAAATGGTCATGAAATAATAAGCATTTTGTAATGATGTAATATACAATCTATCGCCTTTAGTTAGTTAGATGGCAGGACTGAAACTGGTTATTGTTTTAACCATTTTTCCCCCACCATTTTATGGCATGTTTAATTAAATCAGAATTTAGGGCTCCATCTTACAAATAACTAACTAAAAGCAGTAGATCACATTCTACATCATTACCCAACATTCTTACCACAAAGACACATTTTACCTAGCATTTAAAATATGGAAAAATGGTCACAAAATAATGGGGACCACAAAAATAAGGAAATACCATGATTACATAAAATACAAGCTAAAAAGTATACAGAAATTCAAATAATTATCATACCTGCTGCAGCTTCCACTGACAATCATTTTGTACAATGGTTCTGTGAGATGGTATAGGATGTTTGTGAATTTTTAAATGAATATCCTGTATGAAAAACAGATGCACAGCATATTATACCAAATTTCCAATAACAAAAACATTACACTTCATAGCACATTAAATACTCCAAAATTTTTTGTCTGTTTCTCACATAAGCAAAAATAACTAATTTCTTGGTACTTATGTATTAATGCCACCACAGCTGCAGATTTGGTGGTTTTTAAGTGCCCTCAATCTACACCTAAAATTTTTGCAACAAATCATAAATTAAAACACTTTATTTAAAATCAAAGTAGTCAATCAGATTTCTGTGGAAAATGAGTCAATATAGAGTTTAATATAGATTCAAAACAGTCTCTATTTTCTTTGACCTGATGATGTCGCCACATGAACTCTGCTAAATAAGATTCTAAATGATGTCTCACTGTCCCCTTATGTTTCTTGTTCCTTAATTTAGCACTGCTCCACATTCTCTCAACTGTTTGTATATGAACTCCTGTATCAGGATCAATAAAGTTGTATTTATGATTAACTTTAGCATGGGAATCCCTTTTTCACGCACGTAATTGTTCCAATCTATAACAGTTTTATTCGATAAATTAAGTTGCTTTTCACAAATTTTAATTGGCGTCAACTCCTTATACCAGCAGTATATGAATCTCAAAGCAGAACAAAATGGAATTCTGCTTCCTTCAAACCAGTTGTCTTTTCTAAGTCCCACTTGCTGATCAAAAAATCAAAAGAATATACACTGTCTTAAATTACATTACCAAAACGTACGTTTACGAAAATAAAGTTTCATATCATGCGAATTGGTACATTTTTGTTTTTTTGGTAAAATATTTCACTCTGAAAAAATAAAATTGCATCTTCTTCTGTGTTTGGCAAATCCCAAAGACGCATTTTCATAGCACTAAAAAATTACATCAAAAATCAGCAAATAACAAGGCAAAAAGGAATCTAAAAGATAACTGCGTACGAACAACAGGATTGCTCTTTATTGGTGCATCAGCACAACTTCTATTGCGGTGGCATTAATACGCAAGTACCAATTTCTTTAAATACAAATTAAATTTGCACAACATGAATTTTTAACAATATTTTATAACTCTTGCAAATGTATTGGTCCTAAAATAATGTATTTTTCAAAATATTACATGAAAAATAAGCAGTACTTACCGCATGGCTAATGTTATCCCCAACAAGGGTGACAATTGCTTGAATCTGATCTGCTGCAGCACCAATTGAGGAAGAGCTATAAAATTTTTAACATTCAATACAATTCAAATGCAAATATGAAAAATAAAGCTAATCTCAAACATAAATAATTAAGAAAATAGAAGCAGTTGCATAACAATAAATGCAATTATTAATTTCTTGCTAAGTATTACTAAATATCTTTTAAATAAGCAAAAAATGGAAAGAAAAATGTGATTATATGCATTGAAATAAGTTGATAAAAATAATTTTTTTATATAACTAATAAATATATTACTGATTTTATAACATTAAAACTAACAATAAAATGGAAAATTCAGTGAAAACAATCATAAATACAAGACTGGAGTTATTAAAACCTGAAAGAGTACACAACAATTAAAAATCAAAAGAATATATTTTAATGTACAAACTAGGCAGATTGAACAAGCAAATTGCATATTCAATTTTATTGACCCCCCCAAAAAAATCTAATTCAAATTTTTGTTGTTCTTGTTACTCATAACTCAAAACAATCATAAGTTCAAAGTAACTAAGGTTTTTGTTTCTTAGGTTTCGAATCAATTCCCTCTACTTTGTTACTTAGGTTTACCTAAAATTCAGTAATAAATAAATAAAACATGATTATATATATGCATTTCATCATTTTATCTGCTACCGTTTCAGCTCTAAAATAATTGGATTTTAATTAGTAATTCTCCCCCTCCAGTGTTCTTAATAGGATTTGTCTATGCTAAAAAGTCTCAATGATTTATAGAAAAGAAATTTATTGTTAAATAGCTCCTGAAACTTTCAAGCCATAACAGAAAATAATTGCAGTCTGGGATTTATCATATAGTTTTTCTAATATATTAAATTTGAGTCTAGGATAGAAAATGAGTCACATTACAGAAACAAATCTACAAAATGAGAATCACTGAACAAGTATCGATTTATAACAAAGTACAGGTATTTACTTGCAAATGTCACGTAGCACATATGGAAACAAAAATTTTGATTTTTAAGTATTAAGCCTCATATATTTAAATTGCAGCTAGTAATGATACACACATGTGTTGTTTCATAAGTTTAATAAATTTTGAGATGACATCACAACTTGGCAAGCCACTACAACCTCTTTATATCTTCTTTGTTTTGCATGATATTCAGTACTTTCTAGTAAAAAAGGTAAATAAATTTTTAACATATTTAAAATCTAATTATGGTAACAAAATGATTCTGCTCTTGAATGCACAAAACTAATTAAAGCCACATAAACATTTGACATCATAAAAAGATGTTTTCTAATACAATAAACAGGATTACCTATTATTTGACAGGAGAAATTTTTCACTTTTGACTAGGGATTCAGCCGCATGGGAAGATATAGGGAAACGTCGAGCACACTCCTGTAGATAAGAAATAATATTTTTAAAATTTTTTTTTCAATATTTCAATTTGCCTGTATATGGAGGAGCAGACAGGTGTTATGACTGGTCTACACCGTTATTTCACAACATATATGCATATGATTGTAATTTAATATCTTAAACATATTAAAGTGACTTCATACTTTATTGAATGGTTTAATTAAAAAAAAAAAAAAAAAAAGGTACTAGTCTTATATATGCCCTCAGGTCACCAAATGTGGCGATATGTATTCTGCGCTGGTTTTTGATGCAATTGCGTGTTCTGCAATGGTTTGGAGGGAGATGTTGATTGTATGGCAACCCTTTTGAAGCGGAAACTTGATTTTGCTCTAGTGGTCTTCTTTGCTGGTTGGTGGGCATTTTGAAATGTTGCAGTGAAAGAAGTGGTGGCAAAATTTTTCAGTCGCGTGCCTGGTACAACTATTTTTTTCCGGATAGCTGGAAATCCTACAAGGATTTAGAAAACAAAGGTTCTGAATATTTATTTGTGAATCATAGTATTAATTTTGTGGATAGTGAATGTGGCTGTCATATAAATACGATAGAGAGTACGGGGCTGCATGTTAAAGCTACATTGCCTACTTATGATTGGAAATGCAATTTTGAATTTTATTTGGTGGTTTATATGTTTTTCCATTACTGTTCTAAAATGGAAGAAGATCACTTCAGCAAATTGTAGAAATTGTAAGAACTGTTAAGTGGGATAAACTGAAAATTTGTTTGTAGAATATTTGATGAAAGTGTTTACAATGAAGTGCAGTCAGAATGGTAAGTGCATTTCATTTTATTGTTCTTCTTATTTTGTAGAATGTTACATTCATTTTTTTCCCCTATGAGTTAGTGTCGCTGTTGTTGTTTTTTGAATTGTTTGTAAGTTATTTTAGTTTATTTTGTTGATTTCTGCACAATGACTAGATTGTGCAATTCGCTAATGTTTTTTTAAGTTAAAACAGAACGCTGTGTACATGGTATTATTTGAAATTTATTGTTGTTATGTTAGTTTATTTAGCGAGGTGTGCATAGATTTCTTCGGTGATTAGATTGTTCACTTCTCTGATTTTTTTTTTTTAAGTTAAAACAGATCGCTGTGTATATGGATTCTTGTCAAATTTTATTATTTTTTTTTTTTGATTAGAAACTTTACGTTTTTGCTATCTAAATTTTTTTTTTTCGTTTTGGATTTTTGGCATAAATTTTGTGTTAAAATTGCAAATCTTGGTTTTTGCAGATATTTTAAGCTTAAAGTTCGAAATGTAGACAAAAAATTTAGATGGTAATATGGTGCCGTGGAGTTTCTCACCAAAAATGTTCGAAGGTGTATATAATAGTTTAAAAAAAAAAAAAAAAAAAAAAAAAAAAAAACGAGAAATACATGAGGGCTGTACCAAAAATACCATATTTCCCTCTTATAAGATGCACCTTGATTTTGGGACCTGAAAATTGAAACAAATTAAGAATTATTTGGTTGACAGACTAGTTTTTATTGGCTTGTTGGATTATAATTTAACTGGAAAAAAATTATCACATAAAATTATTTAAATCAATGCTTATTCAGTCATCACATCCATTACATGGGCCTGACCTAAACCAGATGACAAATTACTGTTTTCATGTATTGCCTCATCCTCAGCTCCACCTGTGGAATTTAAGATTCACACTTCTTAAATAACTTGACAACAATTTCAATATCAATATTAGCCCTAAATTTTTTAAACCAGGTATTAACTTCTATAACTGGCTTCTCCAGCCTTCCTATCGGTGTCAAATTGTCTACAGAAGACTTCTTATCAATTTATTTGATTCTCCTCTTATGTGCTATTCAATGCTGAGTTGAAGGGTTTGTTATGCTAACATCAAGAAGTTGGAACTGGGATGTCAAGCCTCAAGGTATGACAGCAAATTTTGCTGGCTTGCCTGCAACAATGTTTTTTGCTTATCTGCTATGTATGCCCTCATCCCATCAAGCATCAACAGAGCAGGTTTGTATAGGAGTCCAAGTGGTCTTTTGCTCCATACTTTCTTAACCATATTTTCATCCCATCCTGATTCTTTCAACCCTTGTCATGAACATGGATGATAACTCCTTAAAGAATGACTTCTTTTAGCATGGTTTCACATTTGAAAAACCAGCATATGCACCAGCTTATGTACATTTGCACAACAAGCTAGAACAATTGTATAATGGCTCTTTTCATGTCTTCACCCTCTTCTCAATAGCTCTGCTACTTGGGACATCAAATTGATGGCAGACTTCATCCATATTGACAACTGCCAACTCAAACTGATGTGTTTTCTGATACTGAATGACAAAGCAAAATTCAATGTTGAGTGGGATAAAATTTCTCAATCAAAGTCTAGTTATGTTTTCTAAGGAATTAAAACAGCAAAAGGTCTAATATTATCATGGTGACAGATTTTTTGCTATTCATTGGATACTAGCTACTTAGATATCAGTTCTTTTTTCATTCTGACCAAGTTCTCAATCAGCACTTACTGTGTAGTTAAGAGCAAACACCTCCCACAAGATTAATTCACTTGATATTACCCCATACACTTAAAAATGTTTCTGGTATCAAGATTTCCATTTGAGGTTGATGGCACAGGCTGCGTAACTCAATCCTTCAATGCTTGAATAATACAGTCAAAAGTCGTTAATCCGGACGTCCATAATCCAGAATGATCTATAATCTGGACCTCAAAGCTACAAACTTTCTGTGCATGCGTAAATGCATTATGCGTTTACGCATGCGCATAATACTTTTATGCATGCGCATATGCGTTTACGCATGCGCGTTTAATGTATAATGGACGGTATAAGCTAAGCTAAAATTATCTATTTCAGTATATGTTGCTGATTGCGTTGTTCCTTAATCTTCAAATTGGATCCGACTTATTATTTTTTGCAGACTGTTAGAGCAATTTTATAACAGTAAGCTTGAACTTTCGATTATGTTAAAAAAGAATTTCCGATTCTGGAGCTGCCAAAGGATCTAGAAAGAAAAAGAATGTTTCAATGTCCATCAAACAAAAAGTGGAATTGCTGCAAAAAATGGGTTAAGGCATATCCTTTTTTTGTAACCATTCCGAAATCTGTTTATCAATTTCACGCTGCTCTGCGGGTGTGGGGGGAAACGTCGCGGCGCGCAATGAACTGGAAGTTGATCTGTCAGCACTATCCTTATCTTCAGGGCAGATGTTTTTATTCTATTCGGCTTATAATTCTTTATTAAATGTAGTATTTCATATCGATGTACTCCATCTTTGATATGATTTAAATCAAATTCCTCGTCATTATAAATATCACGAATACACATCAAATAGTTTTCTGGTTGCAATTTTCTAATTTCGATTATGCGTAATGTATGCTTTACGCATGCGCGCGTTGAAAGAAATGTTTAATGTATAATGTATGCTTTACGCATGCACGCGTTGAAAGAAATGTTTAATGCGTAATGTATGCTTTACACATGAGTGCGTTGAAAGAAATGTTTAATAAAGTAAACAAATAAATATTAAGCTTTCTTTTTTGTAAATTTTGATACTCTTTAGATCATAATTGCTCTTTATTTCATAAATTACAGTTTCATATTTTTAATTTTATAATTTCTGCATGCCATCTTACCAGATTTAAACTGATGATCTATAATCCGGAATCGCCGAAGTCCCGACGAGTCTGGATTAAAGACTTTTGACTGTATTAATTTCTTATTTCCTCTTACAGTTCATTTAAAAAAACATTTAAGAAATCAATAACACAGGTACCAACCCTTCTACAGTTGGTTTGTAGAGAGCTGGAATAGAAACCACTTAATAAATAAATTTTTACACATTACTTAGATACTATCAGTTACTATTTTCCATTTCTGAAATAATAATATGCAAAATGCATACATCAAAGATAATACAATGCAAACTATAAGGGTTTCACATGCACGCCCTTAAATAAAATCTCACATCACATAATATCACCATATCAATTATATATTTGATTCTGATTTTCAAAACAATTTTTGAAAATTACAGAAACATACAATTCATGATTTACAAAAACTGAGGAAAAGTACCTGATGAACTGAAGCAGCCAAATGTGTCCATAACTGTCTTTTTATAGCAATCTTGAATGACACACAATTTAAACGAATGTTTCCTTACTTTGCCTCAAGAATGATCTTATTCTTCTGCCATCACTTATAACTGAACATACCATTACATAATAACATAAAAGTATTTTATTATTGCAGTTTCTTTTCACAAGAAAAATGCTTAAACATCAGAACCTTAAAACTTTCATACTTAAAAACAGAATGTATAATGCAGCACACTCTAAATACACAATGTAACATAGGTGTGTTAAAAAAGAAACAACTTTTGCTGTAATATGTTTATTGCTTATTATAAGCATTTTAACCACTGTCTGCCTCAAAGCAGTCCCCTTTGCTGGCAATACAACATTCCCATCATTTCTTCCATTTTTGGAAAGCCACCTGGAATGAACTTTCTGCAGGTCTGTTGCCACATTGTTCGATGTCCTTTCAATGTGGTTTTCAGTTTGGGAAACAGAATGAAATCTGCTGTCTGGAGAGTACGGTGGATGGGGCACAAGTAGAGTGTGATGTTTTGCTTGATAGACTGTGGACAAAAAGAGATGCATGAGCCGGAGCATTATTATGATGGACATCCCAGTCTGGTTTTCCACAAATCGGGCCTCGGTTAGCCTATATTTCAGGGCTCTCCTTGGATTCTTGCCAAGTTGTTGTTTCATTTATGATAACATGAGTAGTTACGGAAACACTATTATGACGTGATTGGTTGCATGATTGCAGTGAATTTGACTGATAGGAAAATATTTGTTGGATTATATCATGCATTGTTTGCTGTGCATCGTAAAATGGCTGCCAGTGGTCAAGTGGGTGTTTGGTGGTATAGAATGAGAGAGCAGATATTTTTTTATTTTTTTTAAGTGGTTGAGGACAAAAGAAAAGAAACTTTGTTGGATGTAACTCAACGGAATTATATGTATCCTATTTGCACGAAGGAAATGCATATGGTCGAATGTCGAAGGATACCGGTAGTACAGAGGATATTTTTTACTCTTATTTTTGTAAATTAATGTGGCGACACCAGTATATAGATTCCAGTTTGGATAATTTTAGGAAGTTTTTGAATGCTGTTAAGGTATTTTGTTTGACTGAAGATGCAGAAATTTCTAAATAAGGTAAGTGGATATTTCCTTTGTGTAGTGCTTAGATGCTATAAGGAATTTCCTTTTTAATGTTATTTCATTGTTTGATTTAGAATGTAGTTTATTGAGATTATATATTTTTTGTCTGGCTCCAGTGTAGAATTGGCTGCTCCTTTCACTTTTTAAGTGAAAATAGATCGATGTGTACATGGACAAAGTCAAGGGAGTACATAATGCCAAGTTTGTGCAATTCTCTGATTTTTTTTTTTTTTTAAAGTGATAATAGGTTGATGTGTACAGGATACCAAGTTTGTGCAAGTCTTTGACTTGTTATTTTGGCTTTGTGTAGGAGCGATATTTGGCAGAAAAAACACCACAACACAAAGCCAAAATAACAATTCAAGGAATTGCACAAACTCAGTGTCCCTGTACCACCAAAAATCACTAACTTTTGCCAAGGGGCACCAGTAAATGTATTTTTGGTTGATCTTTACATTATGGTAACTTGGCGATTTTTTGGCGAAAATTTGGCAACCAACTCTCCTACAGCAACCCTCTATTTTTTTCCCCCGCCGCCATGTTGTCTTCACGAAGTAAAGACATGTTTCTTTTCTTTTTATCTACTGAACACTTCTTCCAACAATCTACTAGCCGAATTACACTTATGCTAGAAATTTTATCAAACAAAACTGCTTAATCATGACAAATATTCACTGCAAAATTGGGAAAAAGTGCACAATACCATACTCCTTACGCGTTTTTCAAAATAACACATACACATAAACCATGTACACGCCGACTTATTTTTACTTAAAAAAACACCCCAGAATTGCACAAAAATGGCATTGCGCATACTCTTCACTATATCCATGTACACTGCTTTTTTCTCATAAATTAGAAAAATTTCACGAAAATACATGACAATTTTCTCAATCTTTAAACCCGGTAAAAAGAAAATATATGAAATTACCTGATCGCGAAAAAGTATTTACCCTTTCCAAATATGAACATTTCCACATATAAAATAATAAATATCCAAAAACTTTTACCTCTAAATCATCTATTATATTATAAACGTCACCAACGAATTCATACCGCAACCATTACAAATACTTAGTGTCAGATATTTAAATTATTTCCATGCACGTTTACTTCAACTAAAACGTATACCAAATTCCTACAAACATAAATTTCACAAAATAACTATCATTTCATTAAAATATAATTAAATTCAAAAACACTACTTAAAATATAAATGAGCACATACATTAAATTAATAAAAATTACCTTACAATCCTAATTACTTTAAACTAAATCATTGCTAATAACAATTTTCCCAATAATACCAAATTCCTTTCCACCTTACATTTAGAACAATGCATAAAAATAATATCCTCAAATAATTAAAAATACTAACTTACCTAATCTTCTTCAGAATCTTGATTACATGGCAGATACACTTTTCTAATTCATTCAATAAAATTATTGAAAGATTTTTTCTGCGAATTTTTCCTCCATACTTCCTCCTCCGCTAAATAAAAGCAAACTTCTCTTTATCACAATGCCTAAATACCCATTTCGAATTCACTTTATTTAGGGCCATGGGATCCAAAAATTAACAAACACTGTTTCACACAACACAGAATAAAGCTAAATACAAAATCTCCAGATTTTTTCCCGATTTCTCCCCTTTTCTGATTAAAGAACCGTAATTCGTCCATTAATATCACATGACATATCCCATGATCTCTCATTTCCCTCACGCAAAATAATGCGTAATCGGAACTGAGTACTGCTCACATTATTACCAAAGTCCCAGGTAGTAACCTTTATCGCCTCCAAAATGTTGCCAAACTACCAGTTACCATATTGTAAACATCAACTGTATTTTTACCCAGGCGCCTCTTTCTGCCGACAGCATCCCTCAAATGCGGTATAATTTTCTGGCATACTTTCTTGTTTACCATCTGACAATGCAATACAAATTCCTGATGGACAGTCAAAAGCATAACCAACATCACCTTGATCCCCTGCCACAACTGCTCCTTTGTTTCAATATCATAGCTATTAGCTCAAGTCTCATTGCTAGTTTGTACCAAAATTTAACATGCAGATGCTATTGAAGCTCTTTCATTCTCACTTTGGGACTGATCCAATGAATGGCTTGTGCATATGCTCATTTCAGCAGCTGTGTGATCACTAGTGGATCCTGTGCATTCTCTGTGGCGGCTGGAGCGGCAGCAGATTTCAAAAGTTCAGTTCCTTTTTACTGAACTTGCATTGTTACTACTTGCATTGTTGCATCAAAGTGATACATGAATGCAAGTAGAAATTTATTACTATGCTTAATTTATCAATTAATCTTCTATATACGCATATGTTACATGAATGCAGAGTATGTGCATATTTAGGTAAAAGTATATTTAAGGGTACCCCTTGGCAAAACTTGGCGATTTCTGGTGGTCATGGATACAAACTTTGTGCAATTCTTTGACTTGTTATTTTAACTTGTGTAGCAGCGACTTTTGCTACACATCCGTCGCTACACAAAGCCAAAATAACAAGACAAAAAATTGCACAAACTCGGTATCCATGTATACATCAACCTATTTTCACTTAAAAAAACATCCAAGATTGCACAAAAATGGCATTGTGCACTCCCTTGACTTTAACCATATACATATCGATCTATTTTCCCTTAAAAAAATATCCCAAAATTGCACAAAAATGGCATTGTACACTCCCTTGAGTTTGTCCATGTACACATCGATATATTTTCACTTAAAAAGTCAAAGGAACACCCAACTCTATAGTAGAGGCAAACAAAACATACATAATCTCAATAACCTACATTTTAAACCAAACAAAAAATAACATAAAAAAGGAAAAATCTGCTGTGCATTTAAGCACTACACAAATCAAATATCCACTTACTTTATTTAGAAATTCCTTCATCTTTAGTCCGTGCTACACAAAATTCCTTAATGGCATCGAAAAACTTCCTAAAATTATTTCAACTCGAATCCGTATATCGGCATCGCCACATAAATTCACAAAAATATCCTACGTAGCTCCGGACTGTCTGGAAAATGGCTACTAAGTAAACCTTTATTTACACATCAGTCGATTAATGCACGTTTCCTTTTTCATTCCAAATTGTACAGAAACTTCAAATTAATCTTACTATATTCAGCCATTCTACTGTCTAAACAACGAAACAAGCAATGTATTTCCACACACAAACGAAAACACACACTTCTAACAACACACCACGAAAGCCATTACAAAACATCCCATGATTCAAAATTTTCAGGAATAATGCAAACGATTACATCATAATAGGGTTTTGATAACATTCAACTACTTAGGTCACCATAAATGAAACAACAACTTCGCGATAATACAAGGGGTACTTTAAAGTCAACTCTAACCCGTATTATTTATTTAGGACGCAGTCCTGCCCGTCCGACAAGCTAAGCTCATCTTATGACACAAAGGGGCTGTAATCAGAAGAGTATGTGCATATGTTACATTATGCAAAATTTCCTATTACCTACAATTTCAAGTATCTGCATTATGTCTCAGAATATAAAATTTTAACTTATTTATTTGCTTAAAACAACATTAATTTATTATGCACGTTAATGTACTGATATAGTTTTTTTTGGGGGGGACATATAAACATTTACTATGTAAGTAAAATTCTTAGTTTAAAAATAATCATAACAGAACATTATAAAAGTAGTTACAGTAATCAAAGCAAAATAAAATATGCATAACTACTTACTATCACAATATCATGCAACTGCTGAAGAATTACAGTAACTTCCTCCTGCAGAAGCCAGTCAAATTCTTGGTGCTGCAGAATTTTTTAAATAAATAAATGACAACATATATAAAAATGAAGTCAGAAATTATTGACAAAGTATAAATATTTGATTTAATTAAATTTTTCAGTTAGTTCCCCCTCATTTAATACCAGGGGCATAGCTAAAGGGAAAGGCAAGGTGGGACATTTGTCCCTGGGTGCAGCTTCCAGAGGAAGCCAAACTGATGTTACTAATTTTAGAATTAAATATTTTCCATTCTTAGCAAGCATCAGAGAGCGCAATATCGTCAATTGTCCCCTAAGTCCTCAAAATCCTAGCTACGACTTTGTTTAATATCTTTTAAAGCAAGAGTAACAAGATACAATTTTTTTTTGTCATTTAACCCTTTGCGGCACAGTGCGTCCAATCTGGACACACCTAAAAATTTCTTTCCGTATGCACAGAAAAATTAAATGAAAAAGGATTTATAGGTTACTCTGAACCTTCTTTATTTATAGTAGATGGCAGCTCAACACAAACCAGTCCATATATTTTAGCCATGTTTAGTTTTTTAAGACCCTCATTTTTCAAAGAAATCTTCCAGATTTTTTTTAGGGTATAAAAGGAATTGTTTGAAAAGAAATTTCTATGTTATTTTTTTGGCTGTATACTAATCTCCTTATTCTATATTAGTTTTAAATTTTTACCTAGAAATCTTGCCTAAAATCAAACGGCGAACCCTAGGTGTGCCCAGACCGGGCTCACCGATAATGTAGGATAACTGCGAGCCTGTATTCTTTGTTTCTCCGCATCTCATCAGTCAGTTCATTGACAACAATGCTCGTTTCAGTACTCTTTTTAAAGCTCTATTCCAGGCTTGGCCAAACTTCACGTCAGTAAGAGCCGCACGTTTGAATTCAGGAGTGTTCGAGAGCCGCATCTAGATTTTCTAAAAGCCACAAGTTCATATTTATTTCATTATAGAAGTAGTGGAGGAGGTTTTAAATAGAAAGAAATCCCTGATAACTTTGTAGAAAAAGTCTAAACAAATTAATTACTTCTTTTTGGACACTGAATAGTTTTAGTTTACCATATTTCATACATATATTTTATATGCACGGGCCGCACAAATTGCCTGCGAGAGCCATATCAGGCTCGCGAGCCGCACTTTGGCCACCCCTGCTCTATTCAATCAGTGTGCCACTTTGGGCACACCCACAGAATTAAAATGATAAGTGCTATCTTCACACAATTTTACTTGTGTACTCCTCTAGGCCTAATTAGACGGCCTTCCTTTTTTTAAATCAAAACTCCGACTTTAAAAGGTAGCATGCCGAAAAGGGTTAATCAAACTTGAACTTTGTTACATTCAAAACAAAAATGATTTAATTAATTGGTTTCATAAAATACACCAAAATACAGTTCATATGCTTACATTAGGTTCTATGAATATAACAAATTTATTTAAAGTTATGGCTAAATGGAGAGATGTCTTTGTGGAGGACGTTTTAAGGTAAAATGGCTCATATTCAAGTTGCACATGAGGAAAACCACAAAAACCAACTACTCAAACAGCCCATTTGCCTGTTCTTGAACTTGGATCAAATTACCAGTATTCAGTGTTCTTCAGAATTAGACCACTGGCAGGCTAGACATGACTTCAAATTTTGCAAGATTGATTTCGATATACTGTTTTCCAGTTGATTAACTTACAATTCCACTTACGTAAAGCAGGAAAACTTATATTTGAATGGTATGAAATAAACTTCATGCAGCTTTCATTTACTGAATGACTGAATCCCCTCACACTGCAATAGAAGAAATTTTTTCGTACTCATTGAACGGGTTTTATGTCAAAGCACTTTCATTGTGCAGCTTAATTAAAATAATCACTATTCAACTACTAAATTTCTTTCTTTTGAGTTTATAAAAAATCACTGATAAGTAAAATATGAGACACTGCCAATTTTTTAAGATATAACATTCTAAATATTTCAAACATTTGAAATAGTACTCAAAATCCCAAATTTTTACACACAATTTCTTCGGTATTACATGAAATTATTAATAAAACAAAAATATGCAGTCCAGTAATATATGTATTGCTAATATAAACCGGAATGGATATTAAGAGTTCACATTCAATTTATATTTAATATCCTCTGACTACTAAATTTCGATAATGATTCCTCTTATCTTCAAAAAATAAATCAACAAAAATCCTACTTTGTACTACATATATTTATGTATAAAATAAAGTTGCCGCTAACCAGAGACAAAACTTCATCGTCTATTTCAGACATTTCAGATATTTGATTACTGAATATAAGCGCATTCAAATAGCCTTCTTTGATGACTTTACATGTCAGTCACTATTTGTTTAGCAAGGAGGTAGGAGGGATAGGAACTAACAAAAGTTTCGCATTTTTCTGCGAGAAACAAAGTTGATGTTTATATCACTGCATTGCATCCCACTTCAGTTCTTTTCTATTCGGACATCGGACATCGGTGGTTCTTGAGGCATCAACCGCTAGGTGTTTGACCCAAGGTGGTTAGAATTATACAATAGCCTCCTTGTTTTGTGCTCTGAGGCCATTGGCTGGAAATAGAAGAATAAGAGCTTTTGTACTGCTTAGATTAGTATCTAAGTTAAACAAACATGAAAATGTTATCTGCTATATGGGAAAGGCAAAATAAATTGAAACTTAATAAACATAGATGAAGTAGATTAATTATCAAGAAACTGTATTCTTGCGATGAGGACTTAAAAATTATTTGCCAAGTATAAATGCGCTAAAACTAGATTAATAAAAATGCGTCTAAAGTAATAATATGGGTTGCAGTAAAGTTGACTAAGCCTTACTCCCGCTTTGTCTGGGGCAAAGACGCAAGTTATATGAAAGTTGAATACATAATAAGTGAAAATGCAAAAGATTTAGAGAATTCAAGACAAAAGTGCTAATGCTTTCCCACTCACAGTATTTAGTTTAATATCTGTTGCTTTGATGAAATTTAATAACTATGAACAGAGAGAAAAACAAGGTTATTGCTCTTTTGGCTGCGTTGGCTAGTTTAATATGCAAGGTTATGATGAATAACGCTTGAATGGCTGCATAATTGTTGGTTTATAGTTTGCGAGTTGTGTGATATGATGATATTCTGAATTTTGTACACTTCTGAAGAAGTTATGCGCGGTCATCAATACTTGGGCATGAAGAATTTTTAAATCTTGATGTATCTGTTGATTTCTGACAAACCACGGTGAATTTGTTAGGCTTCTAAGGATTTTATTCTGGGGAACGATGATCTTGCGACGATAATATTTTGGCGCGGTGGCCCAACACGGAGCTTCATAAAAATGTATTGGCCTAATTAGTGTAAGATAAAAAGTTATCTTGATATCCAGATTCAGTTTTGATTTTCCCTCTTTTCTATTTAGTAAAGCGTCGATACTTCAATGGGAAAACTTGCGCTGCGAAACGACCGCAGCGCTCGTATCGGTAGCCATGTGGAAACAAAATCAGTAAAACTGCGCATGCTCCTTTTCTTTTCAGTCATTGGATATTCAATCTGAATTTGTTTTGCTTCTTTTTTCCCACCACATTAACGCCTGTCCTACACCTCCTTACAGTAGGTAAGGAAGGTAGGAAGGTCCTTCTGTAAGTTGAGGAGGTGTTGGCTTAGCCCTAGCATGGTTTATGCTTTAGGCATGCGGAATAGGCATATAATCAACATAGTATTCTTCGTCGCTTGGCCAAAGAACATCCATGTAGTAGCTGCTGGAAGATACAGCTTTGCCTGGTACTAAATAAGTACAACTATATTTTATTTCCAAAATAATATTTCCTCATAGAAGACTATTTGCAATAGTTTTACAAACATAACATGTGTGAAGGATTAATGCAGGCCACAAATAGATTTTTAGAAAAAATGTCAGTAGCATGCATAACATGAGGAATGTAAAATGTGAAGATCTTTATAATGTATTATATGTTATATACAGGATGATTCTATCTTCATGGGACAAACTTGGAGGGATGGTTGAGCACACTAAAACATGTATTTCTTATATAGGAACGTAGGGCATAAAGGTACATGTTAATGCACGAACGCAAAAAATGACACGAGAGGAAAAATGAGTTTATTTACAAAATCAACGCAAAGCGCTTCTTTGCAACAGTACAAGAGTATTCACAAGAGGTGTTCAAAAGCGCGACCATCAACAGTAATACAACTACAGTTGTGATTGGCTGGGAATGCAGAGGGTAGAAGGCGGTAGTGAGCCGGGGAAAGCGTTATCTGATGCATCAGAGGAAGAATTTCGTCATTTGCAACTGTGATTTCGAGCGTGATGGGGGAATTTAATTAGTGAAAAGGCTGACATGTATTTTAATGTATGGCGCAACTAATGGGAATGGCAGAGCAGTGCTACGGTTGTACCAGGAACGGTTTTCGAACAGACGTATGCCGAAGCAAACAGTGTTCGAGAGGTTGCATCGGTCCTTGTTTCAAAACGGGTCATTTGCCACCAAATCTGACAGTAAGAGTAGAACAAGAACTATACAACCTCGCATGGAAGAATCCATTTTGAACATTGTGGATGAAACACCCCACACAAGTACAAGAGCTATTGCACGTCGTCTGCATGTGAGTCAGTCCACCGTCTGGACAGTGTTGCATGAATTCGTTTGCACCCATACCATTTGCAGAGAATCGAAGCTTGCAAGCGACAGATTACCCTCTACATGTTGATTTCTGTCGCTGGTTATTGTGCAGGTGGATTTCCCATCGGATGTGCTATTCATGGAAGAGGCAACTTTCACACAGGAAGGGGTCTTCAATATGCACAACAGTCACGTATGGGCAACTGATAATCCATACGCCACACGTCCACATGCATATCAAATCTGCTTCTCTGGGAATGTGCGGGCGGGTATTATTAACGAGTATCTCATAGGCCCATACCTCTTATCTGAACGTATCACGTTATCGTATTTTTATGCAAGAGGTTTTACCGGAATTGCTTCAGGATGTTCGGGCTGTCGTCCGTGATCGCAAGTGGTTTTAGCATGATGTTGCGCCAGCCCATTACGATCTGGTGGTTCGAAATTACTTGGATGCGAATTTTGCGGGGCGATGGATTGTGGATTGGGCATGGTGGACCAGTCCGTTAGCCATATTTATCCAGCCTGGATTTCATTTTATGGGAACATATGAAGAGCATCATTTACGAGACTCCCGTTGATTCGCTGGAGGACCTCGTTCTACGAATATCTGTTGCTGCTGCAAGTGTATGCGAAATGCCTAACATTTTTCAAAATATTCGACGATCCCTTCTACGACCCTACTAAGCATGTATTACTGCTGGTGTTCGCAACTTTGAACACTTCTTGTGAATACAGTATTGCTGCAAAGAAGAACTTTGCGTTGATTTTCTAAACTCATTTTTCCTCCAGGGTCACTTTTTGCATTCGTAACTTAGCAAGTCACTCTAGACCCTGCATTCCTATACAAAAAATACATATTTTAATATGCTCAACCATCCCTCCAAGTTTGTTCCATGATCATACAATCACCCTGTATATGCAGTTCATAATCATCCTAAAAAGAGCCTATGACTGGTAAGATTGCTGAGCATTAGGTGTATATGCGAACAAATGTGATTTTGGACACCTTTTGCTCAGCTTATCTGGTCTGGTGATCTCCATAAAATGGTAAATGAAAAACAAAGTATTTGTACCCAATATTATACTTGATCTGCAAACAAGATTACCGTGGATGTGGAGACCAACATGCCAGTGAAATTGATATGTGTCTTGTGGATATTACACAAACACATCAGCTAGAGTACTCTATCAAGCAGTATGAGAATAGGTATCATATAACTAAATATGCACATATCAAACATTTTTAAGTATGTATTTTAAAGTTATAGACTTTCAATGCGATTCGAATTTAAATTTGTGTAATAGATACTTATGAATCTTCTGTGAAACATACTTATTTTGTTTAAATCTACTTCCAAAATACTTTAGTTTAATACAACCCGTGGTTTAGAAAAATTAATGTTGCTGACATTCAAGAGCAGATAAAAGTGTGTCCTACTTAGCTGACAAAAACATGTAAAGTTAAAGTAAGGCAAAAATAGCAGCTTAACATAAAATCTTAAGGACCACGTGTTTCTGAGACACCTTCCCCTCTATTTTTCTTTCTTTCTAGGTATTTCTTTCTCCTGATGAGGAGGGACCTTTGGCTGCCCTCGAAATCGATTGAGTGTTTCAATATTCTTACGCTAAATACAAGGTTGTTTTTACCATTTTGATAAAATCTTGTGTCAGTTTTCAGAATTAACTGACATAGGTCCCTCTTCTTCAGTAAAATAAAAATCGAAAGAATTTTTTCCTGGGTTTTTGAAGAACAAATATCAGATAACGTTCAAAATTGAAAAGAATTTTTCAAACTCTGCATCAATCGAAGGTTTTTTTGATTTATTTTAACCTTTAATTCATGACCTGTCAAAATTTCGAATTTTGTGACAACTATGTTTTTGAGAACCTGTACCAAAATAACGAAGAAAACCCGCTGTATGCCAGCGTAATGATAAACATGGTTCTATTTTTGTGTTAACTATTTCTTCTTGTTTTGTTTGTGTGTAAATAAAGTGTCGGTGTCGTTAAATGTCTAGTTATATGCAATAACATCTACATTAAGAAGGAAATATATATCCAGAACCCGTCCAAGAAGAAACGTATGACAGGCATAAAAGTAAAATTTTTATTTTTATTTTGTGATCACGTAAAAAAATCCTTTGAATTTGACCTAAAATTATACTCTCTTTTTTGTTGCCCAGGATTAAGAGTAGTTCAAACATTGCCCTTATTTGTATGATTCCGAACACTAATTAACGCTGTTGATTTTGCCACCAATTTTCATTAATACATTAATCTATAAGTAAACAAGGTACCAAAATTTAAATATATGTAACAGTATGAACATGTACATAGGCATATGTTTATGTCTATTCTTACACTTACATTTAAAAAATATTATTTAAAAAATAAACGTAAATATTGATTAGCAAATTAGCATATTAATATATTTCATTACCTATTTTTAATATTCGATAAATGTTATTATTACTGCATTCTACTGGTTCGTGGATTTGTATTAATTGACGATAACAGTTGATGAAGAATCAAAACACAATTTTCAGTTTTATACAGTAGAGTTCCAAAGACACGTTTACAGCCGTGGAAAACACGTTGAAACGGTTTGACGGCAAACACGTTGAAACAACCAGCGACACAGCCTTCAGGCTACGATGGTGAAGACAGCTTCACGGCAAACTACTAGATTACAGCTCCTCACTCGGTTCGGTCTCTCTCAATTTAATCTCTGAACTCAGAACGCTTCTAATAGAGTATTCTCTGTGTATGGAATATTGCCAATTTTGTTGCCAAATATCACTAAATGGGGGATGTCGCACTAAATCTGGCATTCGTGCCTTTTCATGTCACTTTCTAGCAACCCTAACTCCGCTTC